CAGTGGTCATTCCCCTAAGGTTGGATGATCCCCGATTCAAACCAAGCAATAATATAAAAAAAATCTAGAATAGAAATACAGAGAAACTAAAAATCAAGCATTTCCAAGGATTTCTAGACTAGAACCATTCACCTTTTGAATCAGATCAAATTTGGATGTTTGAAACTTTGAACCACTATGATATCGTGTTGATGATTGCAACACTATATCTATTATGGATTCCAGTATGGGGGCACCTCAATATATATACCAACCGTTGATTAGGATTACATTGGTCATTGAACTTACGAGAGGTTTGGAATAGTCAAAATTAGCCAAACTACTATTTCAAAAAAAAAAAAAGATTAGAGGTTAAAATAATAATAAAATACAAATAATAATTTAAAATATAGAATACATATGTAAAAATAAGAAAGTTTTCACATTTTAGGTGGACACTCAAACCCATAGCACCTGTCAAATATTAGTTTCATTATATTTTTAACCAAATATAAGTTTTGCTTTTGACTATACCAGCCATGATACCGGTTAATAGTCCAACCAAGTGCAGCAACTGGTCTACACCAGTCACGAGTAAATCCGTGAATGGCTGGCTATCCATGGTAGTCGTAGCACTCCGCGTTCGAAGGTGAGGCCACTCATGCCGCTAGTTTCGAACCTCACCCCAGCTTCATGCAACGCTGTGGCCGAGGGCAACTTCTTGAAATATGGCTCCGGGTCACTCAAATCCTCGATCTCAGGGATGTTGCCGACGAGACTGTTCATCATGTAAACTTGTAGTGCATGTAACCCCATCTTGCCCTCAGAAACCTTCCCTTGGATCTCCTCCCCTAATAACTCAAGCACCACCTCAGTCACCCGGGTGCAGATCCCTGTTCCAAGTGGGTCCAAGAGAGTGTTCAAGACCATCAAAGGGATTCGATTCTCCAGCATCATAAGGTCACGATAATTGTGGTGATGCACAAAGAACAATGCCGATTTTGAGCCAAACACTGGATCCTCGGCTGTGTAGCCTGTCTCGCCGTCTGTTCGGCTGATGCGGTGGAGTTCGAGCAGGAAACAGCCGTCAAGCAGCGTCATGTTAATGAACTCGGCGCTCTCGGGAGGGGCCAGGTCGCCTGGCCACTCGTAGCAGTCCCGGATCGCCTGCTCCTTGGCTTGGAGTGCATCAAGGTATACTTGGAGGGGGTGCTTCGAGCGGTTGAGAAAGTGGAGGAGCTGTCGACGCTTGTGCTGCTCCATGGGTTGGAGGTGCGGGGAGCCATGGTGAAAGGGGCCCAATCCTGGGAATGAAGGCTTCGTTAAGGAGCTCGCTCTTTCAGGAAGCATGGGACTTTGTAAATGCAACGTTGTTTCCATTCCTCGGCCTTTTCCTCTCTGTTTATGGTGACCTTCCCATTCATCAAATCCAACATCCATTGCGTCTGTGATTTCTCCCTTCCTGTTCCCACCATATTTGTTTCTTGTGTCATGAAACTGTAGAGCTTGAGAGGCAGTACTTTGATATTCAGGCTTCTTTAGAGCTTTTGATACGCAAGCTCTGCTTTGATAAATACCCTGAGACCGCACAGCGACTTACTATAAAATAAAATGTTTTCCGAATCGGACCAGACTGAACCGGTGAGGGCACCGGTCAAATTAGGGAAAAACAAAGAAAATGGCAAAAAAAAAAACCCGAAAAAATCTAAACGAAAACAAATCAAAATAATATTACAAATAATCAATCCAGCTAAAACTAAAGCCAAACGCTCTTTCTCAATTCTATCCAAGACAACAATTAATCCCCCAAAATTTCCCTTCATCTCTCTACAAAAACCTTTCCGACCATTTACTAGCTTCATTTTCTATCTAATCTTTGTCCACTTTTTTGTGGAACTGAAGGAATATTCAATTTCAATTTCAAACAATTTAGGTTATTGCCGGATTATCGCCGGAATATTGCCGGAAAGTAAACACAATCATTTTCCTAAACCCTATTTCGGTATTTTCTAAAATAAATATTAAGAAAAAAAAAATACTCACCTAGTACGAGCTTCTCGACAAAGTCTTGCCGGCGACTCTTGCCGGAAAACTTGCCTTGAGCCTGGAGGCTTGAGAAAGAGAGAGAGGATCGAACCCTTTCTTCTCTCTTACTCTCTTTGTAATAAGGAGGCAGGCCTCAGTGCTATTTTCATCTTTTACCCTTTATAGACTCAATAAGACAAGAACGTCCCCTGCTGCCGTTCTTTTTAACAAAACGGAAACGTAACGGGCGGAAAACATGAGGGGAGCGTTTTATAAAGAAGTGAAATGATTTTATGGTCCTGCTAGAACAATCTCTCCCTTTGCTCGCACCGTTGAAAGCCAAGACCTCGTATTTTTTTGTTACTTAACCTTTCAACTTGGTGACCAATCTCCTCAAAGAATTCAAATCATAGGCTGAATGACTTTGATACAAATTTTGAAGGAAAGATCTAAGAGTCATAAAAACTTTATTTTTTTATAAAAAACCTTTTGGTGATTCATAGATGGATCTCACAATTTAATTAAAAAAAAAACTTAAAGTACACTCACATTTAGACCATGTTATACGTGCCATTATAAGAAGGAAAATTGTTTCATGTGGGCTGGACCGCATTTCTACATATGCGGTCGAGAAAGTGTAAAACATCCATCTTAAATACGGATGCAAGTAGGTGTTTTATCCAAAACCAATGAAAAATAATGGTCCGAATGTTTTTTTTAATAAAATTATTATTTTGAGTTTTAAAATTTTATTTATTTTTTCATATTCATGATCCCTATGTCAGAGATTAAATGTCCTTGAAATAAAGTCTTAAAATCCATCTCAAAAATTAAATTTATTTAGAGGCCTGCATTTCTACATGTGCGGGCAAGGCGGCATAGAAACCAGGTCTTTATAAGAATTTTGGAGAGTTAGCATAGATCTGAGAGTCAAAAAACTCAAATACCTTTTATTTTTTGAAAAATGGTTTGATAGGGTTGCAGCCCTATCAAAATAAGTAAAGCCACACCTCATAACTCCTAAAAAAATTACTATTCAAAAACCTTTATATCAAGTTCTAAAAATAATGTATATCCCAAGAAATCATATGGACCATCCATTTTACCCAAAAAATAAGCGTTTTTAGATCCGTAAGGTCTATACTATTTTCTGAGTTTTAAATTTTACTGTCGGTTTTGAAAATTGTTTTAGAGCCATCATAAAGATTTCCGATGCCAAAGTTACTTTCCGGATGAGGATTTGAGGTGAGGTTTTATTTTGTTTTCGTAAAGCCTGTGCCTTATAGAAACTTCATCTTTTTTTTTCTTTTCTTTTCTTTTTTTTTTTAAATAATCACCTCGCAATTCATTCATATATGATTCTTAAAATTTTATTAAAAAAATACCAAAGTACCTCTATTTCCCAAAAGGAATGTATCTCCCAGAGAAGCACGCTATTCACACGATTACAGAAAGTTTTTATCGATCGCTTAATTAACTCCATTGCTCAAAACTGGTGGGGCTGGTCTAAGCCCTGGAGAGTCATGTAAAAATAAAAAGTTTTCTTTTTGGAAAAATATTGGAAACTCCTGGATTTACAGGTTCGGGAGGTTTTAAATGGCTTCCCAATCTAAGCCTGCAAATCCATAAGCCATTTCATATAAATCATGGGAAAATCTAGTCAAATTATTGAACAAAAGTCCCAAATTTAAAACATCCATGAAATCGACAATTTTTGGCTTGTTTAGAATTAAAGCATCCACAATATGCAACTATTTAACACTTTATGGGTCAAAGGAATTTTTTATGGGATTTTATTAAGGGGTGCGGTTTCTATGAGGTTGCAACCTTAAACAATCCAATTAGGACACACCTTCAAATTTTATTATAAGATGTAATTTTGGTGAACAATATTATTAGGATTATCTCAAAATCTATTTTCAAACCTTACTAGAAAATTTTTAAATCCAAAAATGGTTAAAATCAAGTAGATCAATAAACATATGAAAATCTTGAAAATGGATGGCCTAGATAATATGTTGCAAGATGCACTATTTCTGAGACGCAAAATTATTTTTTTTCAAGTTCATATATCGAGGTGATCAATTAGAGGGTTTTTCAACATTAAAATAACTTTTTTTGATGGATTTTTGAGGTGCATCTGTAATTATGAAAGTTGCAACTTTATATAAACTTTTTTCTTTATTAAAATACCAAAAACTTATCAACTCAATTTACCCATCTCTTTTGGTTTATTTTCAAAAAACCCATCCAAATATTCATAATCATGAGTATTTCGATGGATATTTTGAAAATACACATAATCATGAGTTTGACAGCCTACTTATTTCTCTCAAATATACATAATCATAAGTTGGAATAGTTGAAAATCAGTAAAATGCTAGATAGTTGATATGTTAGGTGTTTTCTTTTTTCTATTTTAAATTTTGGGATTCATTTAGAAATCGCCAATAATTATTTTCAAAAAATAAAAAAGGGCTGTTTGAGTTTCTAACCATTCAAATATTGAATTGTCCCAGTTTAATAATTTGATATTAATGTTTTCAGACGCAAAGTCCAATTGGATTGTTTTTTATTTAACTCTTTTTGAGATTTGTCGCTTGGTCTAAGAGGCGGCATCCCCAACTTTTAGAAGGGAGTAAATGGATTTTCAAAGTCCTTTTTTTTTTAATAAAAATATATTCTACCCCAAAATGGGAACTGAAACTTACTCATTGATTTTAACCCACAGGAGTACTTAGACAATATGCTCCGTGCGGGAGCATGAAATATTTTGGCACTTAGCTAATCAGGAAAATACAAATCAAAGAATGAGTGCTAAGGTCTTCAGCTACATAGCACCTCCTCCGCTTTTGAACCGTCTTAGATACCACCTCTTACAATGCACAAAAGTCTTAAGTTAATTAAATAAATTATTACCTAAAAAACAATAGCTCGAGCGGTGGTACATTACAAGATAATATTTTAGATCAAAGTGGGCCTACATTAGGCCTAAGAGAGATTTGTATTGGACATTCTTTTCTTGGGTATGTATTAAAACTATTAACGCTTCAATTTGCACATGGTTTCTAATTTTTTATTTGTTGTCACTCTTTTTTATCATTATTTCTCATTATCATCATCGTCTGAGTCTTAACTTAATTAATTATTAAATTAGTTGTATATCTTCTTTCGAGCAATAAAAAAAATTACTAAACTACAAATCATTATCATCAAAGTCTTTTCTTTACAATTTGAGGTTGGCTAAAAATTATTAAATTAACATTTGGTAAAATATTTCACTTACGTTTTTCTTGACAGGAAGAAAGATATGCAAGCAAGAAAATAAGTACTTCATATTGACTTCTTATTGGGTCAGAGAGGGGTTCCATGTGTGCTACTTAACACTCCATTCCACCTAAGACCTACTCTCTCTTACCACTATTTCCAATAAATATTAATGTATATCATGGTAAACATGGACTAAGTATTTTACGTGCAAAACAAGATAAATGAGACTGCGAGCTATGGGGCATGGATCACTTGAAGTGCACACACAAATACACAGCATAGGAGAGAGAGAAGTGGAGGGTGAACCCAATGGTATGCTGTGCATGATTTTCTAAAAAAAAAAAAACAAAAGGAAAAGAAAAAGAAGAGAAGCAGAAGAGAGAAAATTACAGCTTTTTAACAGCTAAAATTTTACTTATTGTGAAAGGGTGTAGTACCAAGAGAGCTTCGAATCAAATGGGTTTCTTAAAAGGAATCGTGGACGCTAATAGATGCCCTACTTATGGAGAGAGAAAGAGAGTTAATCACCTCAAAGTGATTGTCGAAGGAGATTCAATGAACTTTATTCAATGGTGCCATCTGCCAGACCTCATGTCTTAGAGCCTTAGTGGCATTATGTGAAAGTTGGACTATGTGATCAAGCTCGGTTTATATGAATCAAATTTTTTTTTATTATTCTCATTCTTATGACCACTCATAATTTTCAATTACAAACAAATCACTCTTGAAAAACAAATAAATAAAAGAATAGAAACACGTATTTCACTTGCTACCATTATTGAATATAATTCATTAAATCAAAACTTTAACTCATTGTTTTATGGGAAGAAAAGATCAAATCACAAATAAAGATTTTAAAAAATAAAATTGTCGGAGATTACTTCAACCGGGCTTAGTACACCCCACACCGAGTCTCCTCCTTCTGATGGTGCTCGGGATCTATGATCGGTCTCTTAAGTCTCCTACATATAACAAAAACCCTCTCAATGGCATATGGATTTCAATTTAGAACTAACTACCTAAGGCCCCAATACTTTAGTCTTGCTCCAGCCCTTTTGGATTGATCTTTGGAGAGATAGATCATCATATTAAGTTAAAGAAAAATAATGAGAGATGTATAACTCAACTTGAATATACTAGGGTAATTGATAGTTTAATGTATGCAATATCTAGCACGAGGCCTGACATTGCATATGTGGTTAGCAAACTTAGTAGATATACAAGTTGCCCAAGTAAAGAGCATTAGGATGTTATATATCAAGTATTAAGATACTTGAAATGAGCTATCAATTATGGCATAACATATGTGGGTTATCTCGGAGTTTTGGAAGGTTATAGTGATGCTAATTGGAATAATGAAATCCAAGATTTACTATCAACATCAAGATGGATATTTAAATTAGCAGGTAGTGCGATATCATAGGGGTCAAATAAACAAACATGTATTCCACGCTCTACTATGTAATCTGAAATTATTGCTTTTGACTCTGCTGGTAAAGAGGTTGAATGGCTAAAAATGTTAGATAACATTCTCATACGGCCAAAACTAATATCTGCAGAACAATATATTGTGATAATCAAGCTACTATTTGTAGACACCTCATTTTAAAACTGACAAATTATATGGTTTCCTGAACCTTTAGTATCGCACTTAACCTAGTAAACCTAAATTCATAGCTCACATAACCTATCTTGTGACCCGGAACCAATCTGCTTGCCCGAAACCCTACAAAAACCCTGTTTTGACCTAGATTCTTGTACATGCCCTATTTTACCAAAACAATCATTAAAAATAGTAAAAAAAAAAAAATTGACCCAAATTTTCTCTGAGAGCTTCACAAGAGACTGAGGAACATATCTGAAAAAAATATTTTAATTCGGACTTTTTTTGAGTTGGGCGACACTAGCCGTGTCACCCAGCCTAGCCTGGAATGGGCAACACGCCCAATGTTGCCCAAATTTGGACGACATTGCTAGTGTCGCCCGAGCGACACAACCCATGTCGCCTAGATCTGTGACCCGCAAAACGCTTTTTTGATATGTACATGTTGGTTACGTGAGTTTATCATTCTCAATGGATTTTGACCCCTATAATGCATCTTTTCGTGGCCATTTGATGGGGAATAGAGATAGAAAACTCAGAGAGATTAGAAACCCTCGAGATAACTTCAGAAAACCCTAACCTTCTGAGACCCTAACCCTTACGCCTGAGAAAACCTAGACCTAGAGCACAACAACCCTAGATCCGAACTAGACCTAGGGCACAACATCCCTAGATCTAACCCTTTACACTAGTGATTGGCTGATCGACATCCGAATCAGAGAGGCAAAAGAGGACCGGTTCTAATACGGGCGAGCCCTACGAAGCTAGGGAGTCCCAGGCCATCCGGCCAATTTTGGTATCATTTCTTCCCATTTTATTTATCCTACTTTATTGTTTTTCATTTCATTTGCTTAAAAATCATATTTTGTAATGTCTTGATCATGCCGGCGCTACCACATATCTAAGAGAAGATATGTTCGTTTCCGGGCAGATCTGGCTTTAGATCTAAATTCGAGTTGTCTCACTTTATTTACAGCATTTTCATAAGTATAAGGTGTTAAGATCCCCAGATCTTCATTGGAGATCTGTCAGATTTTGCATCATCAACACTGTTGCGAGAGCATGTAATTGTGTATATAATGAAAAATCTCAACATATTGCGATAAGGCATAAGTACATTAAATTATTAATTGGAGATAGGGTGATTAGTGTAGAATATACAAGATCAAAGGAAAATTTGGCAGATCCTTTGACTAAAGGCCTCACAAGGGATGACATTAGTAAGATGTCAATAAGAATGGAGCTAGAGTCCATTGAATAATCATCTACAGTAGGAGTCCAACTTAGTCTTTTCTAACATCAAAATTTTACGTTCAATATGGTAAAAACATATTATACTTATGGTTAGTTTGGTCACTAGACAAAAATTTTGTAAGTACCTATTCTAAGGAAATCTATATGGTGGATAAGTCTAGTGATGACCTGTATGTTAGTAGGATGAGTTATGCTCATAATATTGTCTATAGAATATATATAAGCCGAAGTGTTTTATATACATGAGCACTCTTGATAGACACACCTATATAAGTGTGGAAGTGAGGCCACTTTTTATGAAATGAATTCGTCTCTAGAGCACTTATGAAATCGGGATATAAGCACAAGGCTCGAAACGTGTTGGTAGCTAAAAAGACACCAGAGTTGAATAACGTTTGTGAGTTATACTACCGATCTATTAAATAAGCAACCTGGTTCAAAGCTTTAAGCAACCACGGTACTTGATTGACTTTGCAGTGTACACTCTAAATGAAAGTTCAAATCAAAAGCTGCTTTCATGGAATGTAAATAATATATTTCTTATGTTTTGTTTTGTTAATATGAAATAGTGGAGGAAATTGTTAATATTTTTTGTTTGAAAAATACTTCTATATTTTTCAAAACAACACTATGGAATACCATTCTTTCCTAAATTGTTTTGATTATGATTTTATTGTTCTTCATAAACTTCTTTGTAGAGAGAGAAAGATGTGGGTTTGAATTTCACATTGAAGAGGAGAGAGTTTGTTGAGCTGTATTTAAGAGCATGTATTCCATTGGAATATACTCAAAGTACAAAGGAGAGAAAAGGTGAATTTGCGGAGCACGCGAAGCGTGTGACGCGCACACGCACATGCATGTGCGAGGGTGTGGGCGCAAGGGGTGCTTGATGGCGCACTTTGCACTTCGCCCGAGCACGTGTGCAGGTCGGGCTCGTGGCTCATTATCTTTTTGTGAGCCCGGTTCATAGGGGAGTCCAACTGTCATCTAGTCGTTGTGAGTATGGGACACCCAATGGTCACTTAAACCATCAATGTGTCGGAGTGTCGGTCAGCTAGCCATCAATGAGTGGCGGTTAGCTAGCCGTCGAAGAGTGTAGTACATCCAACGGTCATGTAGCCATTGATGAGATGGGGGCTGGTAACGACAGCATTCAAGTGGCTTGTAACGGCAGCATTCAAGTGTATGTAACTCATGAAACTTGTAGCTGTTGGGATGCAAGTAACTTATAGTTGTTGGGTGATGTATGTAACCACCACAACACTAAATGCGGCTTTTTGATGCTTTATAATAGTGGGCCTCCTACCCATACGAGTAAGTTTATTTATCACACTGAGAATAATTTTTTTGCCTCTCTCAAGAGACCATTGTCATCAAGCAATTCCAGCAAGCAAATCAGTGAGCTAACTCTCTCTCTTTCTACTCGATTTTATCTTTCTGTCTCTCTAAACTATCGAGATTCTGGTGTCTATTATATGGGTTCCAAGCTCGGGTACGTAGAGCTTAGAAATATTGTTACAAGACCTCTATGTTTTCTTGTATCTTGAGGACGAATGATCTTTCTTATGCACAATAAATACTACATTAAAAGGAGGCAAATATATCGCCTTGAGATAGCTGTATGCCTGAAAAACAAGAAAAGTTTGTGATCTAATTATACAAATCACACCATTTTTCTGCTCCCATTTCACCCACCATAACTCGAACAGTTTTACAGGGTTGTGAAGGAGATAAAATATCAAGTGTGGGGTTGGGGTGGTTGTTTATAGTAGGCTAGCATCGAGTAGAGGGTTTGGAGGAATGTAAGTAGCAGGAGGACCACTCCAGCAACCACGGAGGTAATGGTCCATGGGTTTCTTAAATAGGTGTGGCAAAGGTTAGCTCGCCACTTGTTACACGGTCTATGGCAATACTTTACCAGCTTGCTCCTCACCTCCTTCATCTGGGGACCGTCATAAGCCATCATCCCCCTTGTGATTCCGTTGAAGAGCTGCGCCACCTGGTCATCGCTCCCCAACCCGTTCTTTAGTATGCGTGCATGCTGAAGAATCTGCACGTCCTTGGCCGTGTCAATCAGGTCCTCCATGAAGACCACAAACGAGGAGACCTTGGTGCCATCGTTGCCCAACCATGCGCCACCTAGCTGCTCGAACGCCATGTAATTCAGGAGGTAGGATTCCTGCATACAGAGGCAAAATATTTTAGGCTCTCACAAGAGTGTATTTATTTTTTAGGGTAAAATAACATTTTTCGGATCACAAGATTTGGGGCTTTGAGAGTAGTACTATCGAGTCTTTTTTTAAGAAAAAGGCTAGGATCGTAGTAGTAGCACCTCAAACCCTAATCACCACATTGTGATTTTCATTCCCACTACTAACACCATCTCTTAATACATTCTCACCACTAATACATTCAAAAATCTAATTTTTAATCTACTTGAAAAAAATAAGGAGGAGCACGTCTTCCCTACTGAATAACCCAAACAAAAAAAATTTCTTTAACCCAATAGATTAACCTCATTAAAAATAATTAAATAAATCTAAATTAGTGTAAACAAACAAATCTGAATCTCACTCTCTGCACGCTTAAAATATAATTTGACCACCCAATTTTCAGATGGTGAGATTTATTAGACTACTCAAAATAAAAAAAATTTCTTTAAAAAAATAACGATTCTTAAGTGGTACCTAAAATTTACCATGAAAAACTACTACCAAACAAATCTTCTACCCCAGGAAGTAAGGAAAAGATTTATGTACTTCCCCTGTATATGTATTCATATATTTCCCAATGTCCAACCGTCCGATCAGAACGAAGGGCTGAGATGTCTCAATCACAATGTCACTCACCTGCACTATTTTATTTTAAATTTTGCTACAAAACACTTTGACACCAAAGTTTGGGCGTCCAATCTTCTCTTAAACTTGCACCTGCAAAAAAATATTAAAAAAATATTCTCGATAAAATAAAATGACCAAAATACCCATAAAAATTTCATGGGTATTTTGGTTATTTTATTTTTTAAGAAATATTTTTTTAGGTGTGCTCAATTAATATGATGGGGTGTACCAAATTTCATCTTTATATGATTTGTAGAAAGACAATTAAAAATAAAATACTATGAGACGTTGGATCCAAAGCAAACGGTCAATAGCTCACTTGTGACAGTTTGAGACAAGGGACCTCAATCGTCCATCTTAATTGGACGATTGGAAGGGGGAGAAGTATATAACTTATAGGGTGCGGTTTGTATAGAGCCTAGCCTCTAAACAATCAAATTAGAGCCTACCTTCAAATAGTGTCAAGAAATGTGGTTTCAATACTGAAAATTTTTGTGATAGCCTTAAAATATATTTCCATCTTTATTTATAAAGTTTAAAGTTTCAAAAATAGTGTAGATCGATAGATATATGAAAACTTAAAAGCCTTGAAAAATGATAGTCCAAATATGCGTTACAAGACACACTATTCCCAAAACTTGAAATCCATTTGTTTATGTCTATGCATCTTGATATCGAGATGATCAATATGACGATATTTGAGTATCAAAACACCCTTTCCAAGTGAAATTTTTGCGGTAGACTCAAATTTTGATTGTTTAGAGCCTCAGCTCTATATAAACTTTTCTCTAACTTAAATACAATGGCTGAAATCTAGAAAGCGTTCTCTAGGTAAATATATAGTGCGCTTCAGTTGGCGCATAATATACATGACAAGCTTAGGTGTTTATAGCATGCGTTATGGGCTGCACTTCTACATTTGCGTCCCCTAATGCTGCTCGCGTCTTAAAAGTTGGACCATCCCACCAAAACTATAAAACAACCGTTAAAAAATTAAAATACATCAATTTTTTGTAGTTTTTTTTTTTTTAGTTCCTTTTTTGTATATTCAAGTTCACTATATATTATGATCCTCTAAAATTTAAGATTGAAAATTTATCTCTAGGATGGATTTGGGAGAGAGGACTCAAGGTGAGTTGTGAGGCCCTAAACGATGAAAGGAGCACCTAAATAATTCACTTAAGAGGTTATTTTGAGGCCCAAAAGTCCTCAAAGTAATCATCTTGACATCAAGATAAATGGATATGAGAAAAAATAGATTTCTAGTTTTGAAAATAGTGAATCTTATAATGCATTTTTTAGACCATCAATTTTCAAGTATTCATAAATCTACACTATCTTTAAATATTTAAATTTTATAACTAGATATGAAAATAAAATTCCAAGCCATCCCAAATATTTTCAATACTTAAACATCTTTCAATATTATCACTATCTAAAGGTGCTCCTTATTTGACATTTTAGGGCCTCAGCCTTTTACAAACCACACCCATGTCTTTATCTTTACGTCTCAACTAAATTAAAAGAGAAATCACCGGGTACCCCTTGCACAAGATTCAACCTGAAAAAGATTTTCATGGCTTTAAAAAAAGAAAAGGATTTGAAACACATCGCAAATCATTGCATCAATGGGTTTGCAGATAGAATAACAGGCACATGTGATGATTATGGTCTAACAAAAATACTAAATAGACTATTTTTAAGGTTTAAAATATAATGTTTTCATATGTATGACAAGTGAGCTGGTGAAATTTTTCATCCCTTTTAATCAATCTTACAAGATCAATTTTGGAAAGCGGAAGTACAATAAATATGACACATCAGCACCAAAACTGATAATTTAAATTATCAAAATGTACTAAAGAGATGTTATTGAACATCTCAACTATAATTTTATTTAAATTCAAAATACCCATGAAACACACAAGCAAAATATTTTATTTTAGAGTTATGGGGATTGTATACAATGAGACCATTTACTTTAGATATAAGGTGGTCACAATTACTTACAATTAGTCCGATATGAAATTTGATAGCTTGGATGTGTCACAAAGTTCAAAAAATATTTTATTAAAGTTTGAGCTTGGTCAATGAAATAATTAAAACGTTTTTATGATGAGATATCTAACTCCAATCTCACCAAAAAAGTAACAGCCTGAAATCCCCATTAACTTATCACTTTTGAGAGGCATGGAGCCTTGGCGATAGCATTGTTGTCGATCTATCTATGTTGAGGTCTTTAACTCCATTAACAACAAAGGGTGGGGCCCAAATCCCTACTGATTCTTTTTCTTTTTTTTTTTTTTTTTTTTTTTTTTTTGGACGACAATGGTAACCTTTAAAAAACATTATCAACAAAGGGTGGGCCCCAAATCCTTACTTCTTTTTTTTTCTTCGACAATGGTAACCTTTAGAAAAGAGGTAGGTTCTTGGTGATAGCATCCCCACACCCCGTTTCCACATTATAGTGTCCATTCCTAACGTTGACACCCCCAATTAACACCTTCAAAATATAATTCCCTTATCTATTGAAAAAACTCGTAGGAACCTATCTTCTCCACTGAATTACCCAAAAAAATCTATTTCACTTACCGTATTGTCGGTGACGTTTAGCAGCGGTAAGCGCAATTCTCCGTGGTCGAAACTGATGTTCATGAACCCATCCTGGTCGCTCCTTTTAAATTTTACACCGGCTTCGTACAACTCTGTGGCCGAAGGTAGCTTGAAATCCCAACCATCGTAATCCTTATCCTGGTTGGAGGCGTGGTGTGAACTGCTCTTTCCCTCGGAGTCCTGTAGACAGCAGCTCAGTCCCGGCATCAGGTGTCTGCGCCTGCTTGCAGGCTCCTCCTCCTTCTCAACTGAAGGTGATTGCTCTCCCAGCTTGCCCTTTATTCTCACGTCCAACAAATGCAGTCCCAGCCCCGGCAGCTCCAATGTCGGAGGTTCATCGAAGAGCTCTAGCACCAACTTGTTGACCTCGGAGAAAGGGACATCCCCGAGCAGTGTGTGCAAAACCAGCAAAGGTATCTGGTTCTCGACCATGATCATGTCATTGTATAAGTGGTAGGCATATGGTGCATCAATGTTGTTGAATATAGGGTCATTCTGCTCGTAGTACGCGGTCTGGCGATAGCAGGTACTGCGGTGCAACTCTATGAGGAAGCAGCCATCAAAGAGCATCATCTTCAAGAATTCGGCGCTCTCAGGGGCCGAGACATGAGACCAGTCGTAGCAGGCAACGAGCTTATGCTCCACATTTTGGAGTGCATCTAAGTAGTGCTGACGAGGTTTCCCTGTGCGTTTGAGAAAGTGTTTGAGCGCCCGGCGCTTGTGTTCTTCCATGGGCAGGAGGTCAGGGTTACCGTGGTGGTAGGGGCCCATGGATATGAGCTTGGGCGTGAAGGCTCCCTCGTGCATTTTGGCCATGAAAGCAGGGACTTTGTAAACAGAGTGATTCTTCCAGGCACTCTCATTTCCTGGCTCGATGTTCTCACTTCCTTGCTCAGCTATTTCGGTCGCCATTGGGACAGCCTCATTTCCTGACTCGATCTTCGCCACAACCATCGTCCCGTGCTCAGTTATTTCCTGAGCCTCATTTCTTGACCCCACGTTCGCCATATCTATCGTATGGTGCTCCCTTCCTTGCTCACTTATTTCCGGAGCCATTGTTCTTCGATCTCCGAGAGAGAAACAGGGGTAATAAGAATGACGACTTAATAAAGGGTGGGTGTGGTTTATATAAGGTTGTAACCTTGATCAAACCAATTAAGGTGCACCTCCAAACTTTATCATGTATGTATTTTTTGTGTTAAAAATTAATAGGATTATTTGAAAATCTATTTTCATATCTCATTAAACTCTAAAAATAGTTGAGATCTATAAACATATAAAAATCTTGAAAATAGACGATTTAGATAATGTGTTGCAAGATGCACTATTTTTGAGACTTCAAATCTTTTTCTTTCTTTTTTTCATATTCATCTATCTTTAAGTCGAGATGATCAATTCAATGGTTTTTCAATATTAAAACAACATTTTTTGATGGATTTTTGAGGTGCATCTGGAGATCTACATTTTAAAGTTGCAACCCTATATAAACTTTTCCCACTAATAAATTTCCCGAGATTAGTGGCACAATAAATTGCCCAGATCGAGTGAGCCCCCAATATAATCAGTAATGCACGAACGCAAAAAATGTTCAAAGATTATAAAATAAATTAGAAAAAACTTAAAAAGGAAAAAATTTATATAAAGCCGAGTCTCTAAACAATCAAATTAAGGCTTACTTCAAAAATTTCATTAGAAGATATTATTTTGATACCCAAATATCTTCAAATTGATCATCTCGATATTAAGATGTATGAACATGAAAAAATATTGGATTTAAAGTTTTGGAAATAATACATCCAATAATATATTTTTGGACCGTCAATTTTTAAGATTTTCAAGTTTTTACGGATCTGATCAATCTACACTAATTTTTAAGCTTTAAATTTTATAATTAAAAATAAAATATATTTTAAGGCTTTTAAAAATATTTCTATCAATGAAACTATAATTCTCGACACTAATTTGAGGATGAGCTCTACTTTTTAGAGCCTTTGCTATGTACAAACCACACCAAGGAAAATGACTTTACGAGACACTCCCAGACTTGCATGTGTAGGATTATAAATGATCACTAGTCAATTTGATATATATCTCTAAAAAAGTCAAGTACTATACATACGTGATAACGTTTTTAGAAATCGGTATCAAATTTAATAGTGCTATTTTAAAGTCATCTACACATGGGTGTGAGAGGGTCTTACAGCATGATTAATCATTAAAAAAAAAAAATGACACTAAGACATCCTCTCCCATGAATAGAATACCAAATGGTTATATTAAATTTGTCGCACATCTCAAAAAAAAAAAAAAAAAAATAGTATTACATATAAATAAGACTTTAACTTTTTTAAAATATATATCAAATATGATGGTGATCATTTATACATTATTTAAATACGTGTGAAAAGTTTCATACGAGCACAAGTTCATTGGAAGCCAGCTGTTAACGATACCTTTTGTGTCATTTCATTCGAAGCTACCGTACAAGTATTCATATCGCGCTTAAAGTGCCATTTTTAAAGTTCAGATTTTAATAAATTTCCCGAGATTATTGGCACACGCAATTTCATTTTACTCGACAAAATACGGAAAAAGTTTTTATGCTTCCCCTTCTTACAATAAGTTCCTAACCATCAAATCTACATCTGAGATTAGCGGCACACGCAATTTCATGTCATGGCAGGAGTATTCAATTTCAATTTCAAATAATTCCGGACTTAAATAAGCTAAAGTTTAGAAATTTGATAAATGAAGCTCTGCTGTTTTTTTAGGTCTTGTTTATCGTTGATGAGTTAAACATTTAAAAGCATTTTCCAAAGAAGATAGGAAAATGAAGAAAAGAAGAAGAAAGAGAAAAAAAAGAGTACAAGACACAACAACAAAAGTATATTATTGCTGGATTTGCGCCGGAAAGTAAAAAAGCACAAATGTTTTTCCTAAACACAACAAAGGGAAAAACAAAAATTACTTTTGTATTTTCTAAAGTAAATATTAAAACAAAATTTGAAAAAGACTCACCCGATGCGAGACCTTGGCCGAATTCTAGCCTGCAACGTCACCTGAAGCTTGCCGTAAAACTTGCCTTGAGCCCTTCGGTGGAGGCCTGTGAGAGAGAGGATCGAACCTTTTCTTCTCGCTTAATCTCTTTCTAATAAGGAGGACCAAGTACAACTTTGGGCAGAAGACATCAGCGGAGTGTTTTATAATGAAGTGGAACACTCATTGACACAAAGTCCAATTTCTTTAGACACAAAGTTTTATCACGGAGGCTGCTCCCAGGGATGGCAACGGGTCGACCCAAATACTATTTGGGTCCAGGTTTTGGACCTGGACCTAACCTTTTGGGTACAAAATTTGGAACCATATCCGGAACCAAGGTCGGATCTCCATGTCGAACTTTAGGCCTGGTTGAATCCATTGTCACCCTTAGACTATGGGGAAAGATTTTTATACTTCTCTTACAACGTGGAAGATATATATTTCCCCCTCCATCCAACCGTTCAATTTAGAACAAGTGACCCACTGATTGTTTGATCTAGATCCGACGCTTCAGAGTATTTTATTTTATTTTACAAATTGTATGCATATGAATATGGTATGTGCCATTTTTTCAATAGGGTGCACCTAAAAAATATATTAAAAAGAATTTTTTAATAGAATTAATAACCAAAATACCCCTTGAATCTTTCAAGGGTATTTTGGTTATTTTATTTTATTGAAAATAGTTTTCTAAATTGTTTACAAGTGCGAGATTAAGAGAAGAGTGGACACCTAAAATTTCGTGTCAAAATGTTTTGTAGAAAAAATTAAAAATAAAATAGTATAGTGACATGATATTGTGATTGGGGCCATCTCAATCATCCATTTAGAATGGACCGTTGGGTAGGGGAAAGTATATAAGTTTTATGTTGTATGGGAAGTATAGAAAGCTTGCCCATGACTGAGCTTTTTTTTCTTTTTCTTTTTTTTTTTTTTTTTTTTTTTTCTTTTTACCATCATATACCTATATTATTGACAACATTTATACTATTGCACAACATTTATGAATATCCACATTACTTACTGTTTTACATAATAACAAGAAATCTCTAAGAAATGATAGTATTGGCAACATTTATGAATACCCGCATATGCTTATATTATTCGGGTCTGGTCTGGCTAGACCCAGACCCAAATCCGACCTTTTGGGTCCAAAATTTGGACCCATACCCAGACCCAAGGTCCGATCTACAGTCGGATCCGAGTCTGGTCGGGTCCATTGCCGCCCTGCATCCCAAAATTTTGGGTCACAAAAGTGCACTTATAGGTTGAAGTAAATGGACTACATGTTAAGAGAGCATGGAAAAATTTCCATTCAAAGTCCTTAAAAGTAACTTTCAGCCGAAAATTGGGAACCTAAAATTACTCCTATATTAGTTTTCACCAATGGAGTAAATGGACAATGTGCTCCCCCAAGAGCATGAAATCTTTTGGTATTTACTTAATAAAAATAATAAAATCAAAAGAAAGAGGGGGAAACATATCGCATGAGCCGATGTATTCCCTCCTTGACCAGCTCATTATCAATTTTTTAAGGTTCTCCCGTACATACTACCTCTTTTGTTTTTGAATAGCATACCTCTTTCTATGCACATCCAAGTTAATTTATTAAAGTATTGGTTAGAAAAATATTGCTTTGAGTCAAGTCCCCATGTGCCTCAACTAATATGGGTGTCGTTTACATAGGGAGCACACTTTAAATTATAAGGGGAAAATAATGGATACCACCTCCCCCAATTTCAACTTTTCACATATCTTACCCCATTTAATTTTGTATTAAAGAAAGGTTTCTATTTTTTTTCTACAACATAGAAGTTCTATCCTCCCCTACCATCCAGCGGTCCAATTTTGATCAAGAGAGCCACTCACCATTTGATCTTAGATTCGGCGTTTCGAAGTATTTTATTTTTAGTTTTTTTATACAAATTGTATTAATATGAAATTTGGTACGTACCATTTTCTCATTGGGGTGCACCTATAAAAAAATATTAAAAATAATTTTTCTATAAAAATATAATGACCAAAATACCCTTTAAAACTTTCAAGGGTATTTTGGTTATTTTATTTTATTGAAAATATTTTTTATGTATTTTTCGCTAGTGCGAATTTAATAGAAAGAATGGGTCCAAAATTTGGTGTCAAAATAGCTTATAGAAAAAAAAATTTAAAATAAAATAGTGTAAAGACATGACATTGTGATTGCGGCAATCTTAGACTTTCATTCATAATAGAAGGTTGGATAAGAAGGATGATAGAACTTCTATGCTTACTTTAACCGCCTGTCAAATAGTTAAACCATTTTGTTACCAAAATACCCTTTTTTTTCTCTCCTTTTTTTAACTTGTTTTTCATATTCTCTCTCTTCTATATTTTGAACTTACCCAAAAAACCAAGCTCCCTCTCATCCGTATTCTCTCCACCAAATTAAACTAAGTTCTCTCTCACTTGCAGTCTCTCTCTCCTTTCCCCAAAACTTCTGTCTGCTTGTGCCCTCTCTCCCATTATCTGTGTACCCGCCGTCTTACTTTTTTCCCAAACTTCTCTCTCATCCTGTCCCCTTCCCTCTCTCTAAACCCCACCCTCTCTCTCATTCTCTGTCTACCCGCCCTCTCTCTACTTTTTCCTCAAACTTCTCTCTCCCATACCTTCTTATTCCCTCTCTCTACCATGCCCTCCCTCCCATTTTGGCTGTCTACCCGCATTTTCAAGCTTATTCATCTCGATGTGTGCTACTACAGATAGAATGGGAGAGATGGTAGAGGGTGTGCAAAGAGAAAATCAGAGAGGATGAGAGAGAGGGAGAAACATAGAGAGAGAATGGGTAGAGAGAGAGAAAGAATGGGAGAGAATGGGCACATGATCAATTTTAAAAAAACGAGAAGAGAGGAAAAAGAACATTTTGATCCTAAAACTCATTGACTATTTGATTAGTAGGTATATACAAAAGAAAATACAAAAAGTAATTCGAAATAGGATATATGAAAAAGTAAAATTGGGGGTATCAATAATTTTCCCAATTATCAATGCGCACCTCCAAAGTCTGGTGAAAAATGCAGTTATAATATTCCAAACTGAATGATGCAAATCTAATATTCAAACGCTTAGTGATTGTTTCAAAACTATTTTTGCCCCTAAATATGAAATTTAGAGTTCCAAAACTAATGTTGATCATGTAAATCTATAAATACTTGAAATCTTGAAAATAGACGGTCTAAATAATATACTACAAAATACGCTATTTTTAAAGCTTGAAATGTTGTTTTTCCTCATTGCTTTTCCTCATCTGTATATTTCGAGGTTGAGATAATCATTCAAAGGATTTTCCAGCCTCATAACGCCATTTTCTAATGGGTTTTTAGAAGAACCTTATTTCTATAGTAGAAGCAACACCTTATACAAAGTTTTTAAGCCACTATTGAGTAGGTGCTAACAGGATAAGTAAGTAACGCGTGAACGTCATTGGCCGATTGATTCAAGGTTATACATGTGTCTCTCTCTCTATCTATCTAACGCATGTTAGACCAAGTAGATAGATGACTAAAAAGAATCTTTGCCATATCTTTTTTAAGGGAAAAATACCTTGGGGCTCTTCAAGAAAAAGCGACGCCATAACCAACCCTCTGTCTAATACTGGCGTGGTAAGTTATTTTTAAAAAAAATTATTTTCTTTCCTTTAGCGTTAGTTTTAACTTAATCTTTACATTGATTTTTCTTATGGAAAAGCTTTCTATGTTCTCTCTGCAACATAGAAATTCTATCCTCCCCCTATCATCCAATCGTCTATTTTTTTATCAAGAGAGCCACTCACCATTTGATCTTAGATCCGATATCTCAAATTATTTTATTTTTAGTTTTTTAATACAAATTTTTTTAATATGAAATTTTGTACGTGTCATCTTCTCATTGGGGCGCACCTATAAATAATATTAACAATAATTTTTTGATAAAACATAAGAACCAAAATACCTCTTGAAACTTTCAGGGGTATTTTGATCATTTTATTTTATTGAAAATATTTTTTTTTTTTCGTTAGTGCGAGTTTAATAGAGGAATAGACATTCAAAATTAGGTGTCAAAATAGTTTATAGAAAAAAATTAAAAATAAAACAATATAAAGACGTGACATTGTGATTGGGGCAATCTTCACCCTCCATTAAAAAATGGACCGTTGGATAAAGGGGAGGATAGAACTTCTATGTTGTAAAAAGAACATAGAAACCTTTCCCTTTTTCTTATTTTCTATCTTTGGGTTTTGTGATAGAATTCTTAGTGATCTTGAGCCCAAACTACTAGCGAGTCTTAAAGAAATTAGATCTCTCTGGGAGTCTTTTTGAGATGTATTTGACGGATCCCACAATTTATCTACCGATCTTCAATTTTAACTCATAAATTTGTTGAGGTTTCTTCGAGATCTTGCCGAATTTGTGCGGTAAGGAGATAAATAACCCAGCCATTTTAAAAGAATTCAAATGGCCATGGTTGAAGAGTTTGAAATGGCCGACATTCCATTCATGTCTTATTTTCATTGAAATTATACAAATAGATGATGGATTTTTTGTATCACGAAAGGCTTATGAAAAAAACACCAAAGATATTTTATAATAATTCTAAAAAAAAATTAAAAAAAAAAAAAATTTAATAAGTGATGGTCTATATGAGTATGATGGTCCTTAAAAACCATCACTATTTTCAAAAGCTTTTGCTTTAAGCTTTTCCTCACCTTTGCCACGTGCATATGTGGATATGGGCTTTAACCGTATACCAAGTAATATAAACCGGTTATACCTCCTGTTTGAGGTGTAACTTAATAAAAGAATATTATAAGGTGTTATAAGAATTTAAATAAAAGAAGTGAGGACTCCCATTTCAAAAAATTTTGAGATCTCTTTCTAGTCAAAATGTAGTGAGCTCTTTCTCTCTCTAGCCGAATTTTTATCGGAAGCACCCTCTTAAATACTTTAGGTAAGTGACTTCATTACTTTGAAAAATAATCCGTTCTTTTTAAAATAAAATAAAATAATTATTTTTGCTCATTATCATGAATTTTAGACACGATAAATTTTATGTGCAAGCGACCTCTTTATTTTGAAAAATAATCTTTTTAATAAAATTGTGATATTGTATTTATGTTAGAAATTTTAAATGCTGTAAATTCTTATAAATAAATTTATTTATTTTTCTTGTCTATTGTTAGAAAATTTTAGATACTGTAAAATTATTAAAAATAAATGTCATATTTCTGCTTTTAATAAAATTGTGAGATTTCTTTCTACTGTTTTTGGATATTTATACATTGTAAATTTCATGTGCAAATGACTGCCTTATTAATTGAAAACTGATATTTTTGCAATTGATTATAGCATGGTCTGTGAAAT